GGGATACTTGAGGAGGAGGGGAGAGAAAGCCCACTTCATGTGATACTTACGTAGTTTAATCTTAAACTGTTTAAAAAGTGGACCACCTTTCTAAAGTGAGGGGTGACAACATTAAGTGCAGCACTTTGAGGAATAATGATTTGGCATGTTCCACCAACAGAAGGGTCATCCAGGTGACCAGCCTGGAGCTGTCCTCAAAGCGACTACTCTGTACTCTCCACTGTTCCAAAGTAGAGAGGCAATTATTAAGAGCCTATTCTGTTTAAAGTTCATTGTTTAAGTAAGCAGGATGGTATGAATTTTGTAAGAGGTTGCAAACACAAAGATTTGTAAAATCCTTTTGTAAAAAATTGTAAGAATATTTTGGGGTTTAAAGGGGTCAGATCATAAAGCCTTTGATAACAACTAGGTAATATTAACTAGTCCTGATAACGGATTCCCTGAGGTTCTGATAACCAAGCTCAGGCTCTTTTAAAATTATCATGAAACTATAAGAAACTTATCCAGGATAAGAAGGCTGGAATTGGTAATTAATCCTTCCTCACTGTTAAATGGAAATAAGGTCCGTATAAGATTGTTACATTTTGAACTCCCATGGTTCCAAATAGATTTTGAAATACTGGAGATTCAAATAATACCAGGAAAAATGAGCTTTAAGAAATCTAGTTTTATAAGAAAATATAAAAGTTGTATTTATTTTCAAGAAGAGAAGGATCAGGAATGATCATTTCTGCTTTCAAATCTAAAATTAAGATGGGGAAATTAGTATTTAAATTGTTATGAAGCAACTGCATTTAAGACATGATTCTGAAGATTAAGGAAGATATTTATTTAATCATTCATAGTTCACCAAAGTATATATGAAAATGTTATTTCTGGAAATATTATCTTACAGTGTTAGACAGAATCCTCCAGAAGTAAGGGCAGATCTCACCTTTCTGTCACTTTATAATGCATGTGAGTAAAGAGATTAAATAACTTAAGAAAAGAAAGAAATGTTAGCTATTTTTATGGACAATGTATCTATCTTTGTTCTAAAGAACCTGAAAAGCTTAAAAACTAGTGACAGATAAATAGCCTTGAAATATAATCTAAGTAACTGAGAGATAACATTGCCTTTTGAGTTTTGCCTCTATGCCTCAGATAGGCTTGGTAATATCTGGGCACTAGACCCAGTTTGGTTTCCTGTGGGTCTGTGTCTCCTGTGGTACTGGATAATTGAATGTCTGAATGTCAGTTTACCCATCTGAAAATTTGATAACTACTCTGGTTGAGATGTATTGAGAGAATTCACAATCGGAACTCATTTAACACACGGTAGCGAACTTGCTATAAACAGATGCCTCACCGGGACTCAGCCCTCTTTCCAGAAATACTTCAGAAAGTGGCTTCTATGTGGTAGATTGCAAGGACACAAGATGTCCTCTCACCTGCTTGAAAGGTATTGATAGTCCATAGCCCTCCCCTGTAGTCTTTTTTCCATTACAAATAAAACTGGTCATACACTGAGAACAAATTATTCAGAAACAGGAAGAGATGATGGAGTTTATTTATTTATTTTCTGTATGAATGACCATGCCCTAATAGATGAGCAACCAACTTTTGAGGTGATGAAAGTGAGAGGGAAAGCAAAAAGGGGTATGAAAGTCCTGATTACAGACTCGCTTCTCTAGTTTGCCCAGGATCAAAGTCATTTTCGGAATTCAGGAGAGTTATTCACTTATTGTGAGGAAAAACTTGTGTTATTCACTTATTGTGAGGAAAAACAGGTTTAAAACAGACTCCTAGGATTTATGTAAAACATATCATACCCCATACAAGTTTCATCTTTCTCTAGAATTCTTATATTGTGAATAGAGGTGAATAATGTCACAAAGACATTTTTCTCCACACCTGTAATAAAGCTCAATTTCATAAATCATCTTAGGAGAGCCTAAAACAAATTTTCAGTTCTGGGAATTTTTTTTATGTAATTTGATTTGCTTGGCTCTGATAGATAAAAGAGAAAGGAAGGAATCTTTTTTATTATGAAACATTCATCATTTTTATGCATTATTTATGGACATAGTTTTTGCAAATTTTCATGCAAAAAGTTCATTGCTTCATTACTCTCAAAGCATTTCAACAATCAAAATAATTTGATTTTTTTCTTTTATTGACCCAACATTAAAGAGGTGAGGTTTTACTATAATTACTGAACTACAGTTAACATTTGTGAAAAGGGAAGAAAGCCGTTCAAGACATGAAAAATTTATTACTTAATAAAACGTGTCTGAAATATCCAACTCTCCTATCCCCAGCATACATTCTATTTTTCTTACTTGTAATTTGTTCTGAAGAGATATGGGAACCTGACTTATTTATTGAAAAATTTCAAGATGACACATTGGCAATTATAACTTAAAAAAAAAAAAACATGATTTCAATAGCTTCTGCTACTATACAGTTTGGATTATACTGTTTAGGTTGGATGACTATAAAGCAATTTGGGGTTTTTAAAGACTGAGAAACATTTCTCAAGGTTAGCTTTCCCAAACAGAAAATTGAGTGCTGTAAATTCCACCTCCCACAGACCAGAATTCACAACCATTGGTCAAGGGCAAATACCATTGACTCTGCTTCCACAGTCACTTGGTGCCATTTCATCAAGTAAGAGCCAAAGGTAAGTTTTTACACTTGCTTTCTTCTCCAGCTTGAGGCTTTTTATCCTACTATAACAACCTTTAAAACAATAATTCAACTTGCTTTAATATCTCATGGTAAACTTAGATTCAGTAGATTCAGCTTAAGTTTGCTGTTTTATAGTTATGTTATTCTTGGAAGATCCAAAACTCTGAATTAACTTAGGAATTAATAACATGCAACAAATAGTTGATCTTTAGAGTCATGATAGATGCCAATACAACTATAATCATATCCAATATATTCCTTAAATCAAGTGGCTTCACACAGACCATATTCTGCCAGTAGAGACAGACACTATTGATTGCTATTGGTTGAAATATTATCAAAAACAGAAAATGGTGACATTTCAGGTGTTTAAAAATATACTGATAAAGATATGGACTATGCATTTAGAATGTCTTTTTAAGCTATATATTTTAATGTTTTATATAAGCATACATTTTAAAAAATATTAAATAATACAGACAACTTCAAAGTTTCAACAAAGACATTACATTAAATACTATCAATTACTTTGAAGAAAGGAAATGTATGCATTAAAACTAAAATTAGACACATGTTCTTCATATTTCTAGGGTTCAAAAAGACTGCCTTATTGCTGATAGCTGGAGGGCATATACCAAATGCCAATAACTCAAATTTTGTAGACAGTTATAAGTTACTCTAGAGTATGCAATCTAAGCAAAGAATAAAATTTTGAAAAATGCATAAATTCTTTAAACAATGAAAGTTGCCAAAAGTGGACAAGGAAACGATTTTTTAAGGACAAAAAAGTAGTGGTTGATATTATTAATGCTTCTCACTTGAATATGGGAGGATGGTATCTGGAAGATTTGTAAATCACTCTCTTTTATTAAGCAGTACTTTGTTGGTAATTGAGTAGAACAGTTTCAAATCTGCAATCCTGCAAAGATCTCTGCAAAGGCAAGTAAAATAGAGGCTTACTTTATCCAGTGTGAATAAAAATTTTATTTCAAGAAAGCAAAGGAGGGGATAAAAAGGAACTCCTTGTACTGCTACTTGTTCTCAGGGGAATTTCACATCCTTCTGCCTAAACCTGCTTCATAAAGACTTTCTTTCAAGTAACTGAAGGTCAGTTTGTCTGCCACAGCATTCAAGTTTGAAAGTAATATTTATCATGAATTCCCTTTTATATGTATGCCTAAGTGCAAACACCATATGCACTGTTCTGAAAGAAAACCCAAGAAGTATATCCAAAATGCAAAAAGCTTTAAAATTAGATATGCTTGATAAAAAGTTTTACAAATATTTTACTTCCTTAATGAATGATGGTAGCATTTTTTTAATAGGCCCCAAATGGTTAAAATGATACATGAGGGCTTTTTTTTTTTCCTATAAGCTGAAATGAAAGGAATACTTACAAAGCTAAAGGAAAATTATAAATCTTGACTACATACCCACTCCCCAAAAATAGTTTGTTGTTATCACAGAAAAAAATAAAGATTTTGCTTATTAAAGAATTAGAAAACAAAAGAATTTTCTAGTCCCATATAGACCCAGTTTTTTTTTCCTCAGGGAATCTAGCCAATTTCCTTCAACATCTTTTCTATTGATTCTGAGTTTAAACCTTAGATGGTTGTTATTAATTGACAAAAAGAAAAAAAGACACTAAAGACTAAAGAGAAAATATTTTTCTTTTTTTCTCCATTTAGTAAAGAATAATTTGAAAAACACTGCATAAAATAACTTATTACATATTGCACTGTGCATGTGTTCTTGTCACTCAAAGGTAACAAAGCTGTACAGGAAAAATGTCATTGTTTTTATCAGGTAAAAGCTCTAGGCTTGAACGTACAAGGAACAGTTACAAGTCCTACTTGTATCAATGTGTTTTGATTTTCTCATTTAAAACTTGGTGTAGCAGTGTCAGCTTCATCATCATCATCATTCCTATATCCCAGTGTTGATAAAAGAATCAAAATATTTAGTAAATGGTAAAGCTCATAGGTAATGTAATAATTTTCATGTAAACAAATGCATTGTTTTCTTTGTGCATCCCATTTTCTTCATATTTCTATATAATATAAAATCCATTTTCATGTAAAACGGTGTCTATTACAATGGGAATAGGTTTGTGAGTGAAGGGGAACAGCAGCTATCACTGGTCATCAGAACCCACACAATTTCTTGTCTTAACATTTATTAATTGTCCTTGTAAAGAAAGCTACCAGTTTGAGTTTCTCATGTGTGTTGGCATTGGTCGCTCATTGGTATTTCATGCAAACTATTCAGAAGTTGCTATCCATTAAGTATTTATGCATGTTCATATTTTATGATTAGGAAAATTTAAAACAATGAAAATGTTAGCAAGATTCGTTCTGGGACTTGTCATCTTTGATGCTGCTGTTGCAGCTCCTACTCCAGAGCTCATTAACTATGACTCGGAAGCCTACGACACCACCTTGGAAGACCTGGATAATTTATACAACTATGAAAACATACCTATTGATCAGTCTGAGGTAACTGTTTCCTTCTGCTCTTGAGACTTTTAAAAACAATGTATGAAGGATCATTAGGATTTATTCTCTTCCAATAGGTTTTGTTTCTGCTTAAGTGGAGGTATTCTAAATAATTTCATTGTAACATTTTCTCCAGTATATGTTCATCCATTTGGAGGTTCACACAGGCACTGCCTTTGTTTCCTTCCCCTCATCAAATTTACATTTAAAAAATGATATTGTGTAAGTATAGGCAAAATGAGAGGGGAAAAAAAAGGCCATCAGCAAAGAAAAGAGAAGCTAAAATAATATTCAGGCAAGCAGTCATGGAGTTCGGGGTAAAGGAAAAAAGATATGAGATTAAAATAAAGTAGAAAAAAATAAGTAAAGTTTACAAAGAGAAGACTCATTTGGAACACCTTGTATTCCAAGAGCAAAAATGTTTCCTTAAATGACTGATTAGCTCTCAGAAGCAAGGTAGGTATTGGCTAGGTTGCAGCCCATTACATAAATCTAATATGACATGTTCCTGATTAAATGCTAGGATTTTTACATAACTAAAGAATACAGATCTTGTGGGGTGTAATTAATATACAACATTGACAAAAACTAATTAAGTATAAGTACACCAAAAGGGAATCCACATCACCTTTATAGGATCATAACATATCTTGGCAGTCTTTCCATTGCAAATCTCTTAGAATAACTATTTTTGATAACTAGATAAATGAAATATTTTTAAAATATAGCATAATTTTAAATTATATGGATGTAATGACATATACTATTTTCTTAGATACACTGTACTAAGATAGTAAAAAATTCATTTTTGTTTACTTGTTTATGAAATACAATAATAATTATAATAGTCTTTTGGAAAATATAGTTGTTTTTGAAAAATATTTGAATTTATTACTAGTATTTGCAAGTGAGTACATCTATATATGTCTATATACATATACATACATATATATGTCTATAGGCATATATATATGTATGTCTATAGGCATATACATATGTATGTATATAGGCATATACAGATATATATGTTATATATATATGTGTGTGTATATATATGTATATATGTGTATATATATATATATATATATATATATATAATTTAGTTTTACATCATTATTCATTTTGAGTAATGTGTGCTTTCTCATCTCAGGCATAGTCCCCCTGGATTCCCACCTCCCATTCACCCATGCACCATCACCATAGTCCCTTGTGGTCTTCCCTCCCCTGTTCTGATCCTAGTCCCCACTCCTCCCTGTAGAATGTCTCTGGTTTTTAGTTGCCTGTTGATTTTGATTTTAAGTGCAATCGTTTTTACACATGCCCTCTCCACTCATTTCTCTTTCCATGATTCTCTCTTCCTGCCCTCACTCTCTCACTATCTTGCTGTCACTTTCCCTTTCTCTCTTCCTTTTAGTAAGGATTCAGACTGGACAGCAGATTACTTTTCTTCTGGACATTTAGTGGTGACTCTGTTTTCTAAGTATTTATTAATTTCATGATCTGATTCATCTCATCTCTTGCTTCTGTTCTGCTAAGGGGAATTTCCTATTGACAATTTGTGATTATCAATTTCAATAGAAGTGCTCCAACCTAATAGATCAATGTAGAGTATAAGAAGAAACTTTTCTAGTGCTTAACTCATGTTCCTTACTACTTTAGCTATCTTGTATAAATATAAAGCTATTTAAGGAAATACAGCAAATATGAAAAAATATTTTCAAAATTCACCATTTATGTACCAAATGGTACATAAATTACCAAATGGTACATTTATATTACCATTTATGTACCAAATCCAAAATTTTAATTTAAACTTGTCATTCCTCAAAAAATTCATGCACAATATAAAATGTTACTTATAGATATCTGCTAGATATACAATCTCATATATCTATAAGATAGAAATATTTTATAGATTCAGAGATGTCATGATTACAAAAGTGAATCCTTTATTTTGAGAAGGGTCAGGGAATGAACTCAAAATGACTATCCACTTCAGAAGACCAAATACACAACAAAAAAAATGCCGTTTGGACCAAGGTTACCCTAAGCGAAATTGTGAAGGACGTTTTGAGCTTTATGAGAAAGAGGCTTTTTAAGTCATTCCTTGCTCTCAGTATCTTTTTTGCTACCTAAGAAGCCCTTGGCATTTTCACGAGATTCTGAAGCTGTTCCTGCCATCAAGAAATGAAAACTAATAAAAATATCTCTATAAAGGTGACATAGTATACCCTCTTTCTTCAGTATTGAATATTCTAGTATAGTAACTTTCCTACATCTAGGAAAATATGTGGCATTGTATCCTTAAACAGATTAGTCTCTAAATGATGCAAGCACTTCTAATTTTCCAAAGAATTCTGTAACATTGGCCTAGCCAAACTCAGTGCGTCCTTAGAGAGCTGAGAGCGCCAAAGAGTCCTTAGAAAGGCCTTGTAGTTAATTGATAGATATATCACCATTGATTTAAAAATCCTTTGTGGTTAAGTCATTATCAGAAAAACCAATGATGAACCTACTCTCTTATGAAAAGAGAAATACAAAACACCCAAAAGTAATGATAGAGTAAATAATATGCCAAGAAACAAAAATTCAGAAGATATTTAGCTCAGATCTTCACAAATTATTAGTAAAAACTGTTTTGCAAAGAACTAGTATGTAATTCATTTGAGATAATATGAAATAAAACCAACAGATCCAACCTTATAATGATGAATTTTAGAACTTCTTGAATATAATCTTGAAAGTTGTGATTCCAGTGACTCCTTATAAACTTATTTAAAGTATCCTTATAAAGTAAAGTCAGTTCATCCAGACATTCTAAATCCTCTGAGACATTTCCTGAGTGAACACTGGTAACACACCCATACACAGCACAGTTGGCAAAATTCACAAAATATGAGAGTGGAAATAGAGTTTCCAGTTTTTATCCTCAGTGACAACAGTGAGGTTCTGTATGCTTTAGTGGAAAATATATATCACTATTAAAAAAGTCAACCTTAGATTCTACAATTGTCAGTTTCTGGGATAATCACGATGCTTCTACATGTCATGCCAACTTCTTTCTTATGAATACTGAGCTTTGGCATCCGAGGCCAATATAGAACATAGAGTCTATGTTTTGTCCAGTTAAACTTTAAATTGCTGACATATGTGGCAGGCACTATAGAACATAGAGTCTATGTTTTGTCCAGTTAAACTTTAAATTGCTGATATATGTGGCAGGCAGAATACTAAGATGGTCCATTCCCTGGTGGGCCCCCCCCCATAATCCTTAATCTTATGAATATATCAGGATATCACTTTTGTAATTGGATGATGCTAAATGGGACATTTAAATTTAATCAGGAAGATAGTTTCAGTTGGCATGACCCAAACTCATGAGTCCTTAAATCAATGTCAAGACCAGGGTCAAAAATATGACTCAGAAGGAGATTTAATGTGAGGGAAGCTGTTGTGACAGACTTTCAAGAAGGCTATGTTCATTATCAAGGAATTCAAGAAGTCTGTAGATGCTGGGAGAAGTGACCATTCTGGAGACACATGAGGGCCTCAGTGCCCGAGGCACTCTGAGCTTCACGCAAGATTACAATCCTGACCATCAATTTAATTTTGATTTTGTGAGAACTTGAGCAGAGAACTCTGGCAACCCCTGGACTTCTTACAAAGCTGTGGGTTAAAAAAAAAAAAAAACGGGACCAGTTTTTTGCACCAGTAGAAAATTAATATTAATATGTACTAACAAACTTTCTTTCTGAACATTAATGCTACGCAAGACTTGTACTTGAGTCCAATTTGTCCAGTCAATGAGTCAAAACACCTCCAATTTCAGTTATAATCTCAATAGCCTTATTGATTTTTACTAGTGGTTATATTTTCATTACATCCTCAGTAGTTGGAACAGGATCATTAAAGTATTTTCTGTTTTTGAAAATTGTATGTAGTAATAGTATCCAAGACTAATGATTGATGTAATTTATGATGATCTAGAAGAGACAGGATCCCCTAGATGTTATGCTAAGAGCAGGTTTTAGCGGCAGCAATTCCACATAATATTCTGTATTAGTCAGTAGACAAATTTGTTGTTATGACATAAAACAATTGGAGTCTTTACTGAGTTCTTATTTTTCTATAGTAGTATGAATAAGCATAGTAGTATGAATAAGCATTGGTTCTAGGTTAGAAGACCAAAATATTTTTTTTTCCCCTGATGAATAGTTTCTTTTTTTTTAAAGTTGTATTTATTGATGCATACAAGAACTGGGGTATCAGCCAGAGGTATGCAGTGTAAGCCAGAAGTATGGTTATAGGCCAGAGGGGCTGGTTAGTGGATCCACCAGAGACAGAGTGGGGGACAGAACAAGCAGATCTACAGAAATACGCTGCTGAGCGGAGCAGCGGGCAAGACAGGAGAGGTTGTTACACCATGTGGGCTACCTCCCTGGCCAGCAAGGCCAGGGATTGAATTCATGCTGCAATGGTTGCTGATAGCTTAATAGCACACTTAACCCCTGTGCCACCAGGGAGGCCCCTGATGAATAGTTTTTAACCCTAAATGAGCATTCACCAGTTCAGTCCTAGGCACATTGTATACATTTTCTCACAACAAAATGCTGTAGTACTATTATTATTGCCATTGACTAGATGAGGATAGTTAGACAGAGAACAGTAACTTGACTACAATTACAGTTACTGAGAAATATAATCATGATGATATTTACCTCCTCATATCAGTAAATGATTCCCCTCAAGTGAATAAAAGTTTCTATCATGCTCCCCACATTTTCTACCATTTCCCAAATTGTCCTTTTAATTTCATATGAGTTTAAGTTGAACTGAATGCCAGGTTCTTCAGTTCACGTTTTTATGAGTGAACTGAGTGAATGTGAATGAAAAGTAACCTTTATAGACCAGTTACCTAATTACCGCAGAAACAGACTGGCCGAGGACTCTAGCCCTTCAAAGAACAAGTGTGATATGCCCTTCTCCAACACATAGCACAC